GGGTTTAGGGGTTTAGGGTTTCAGGACTTGGGAGTTCAGGGTTTAGGGTTTAGGAGTTCAGGTGCCGTTCATGGCTTCGAGTTTAGACTTTCAGAGTCTACATATGGGCTTGGGTTTCGAATTGTAGTTTTATATTATTTATTTATTTTTTGGGGGGTGGGGCGTGGGCTGCTAGGGTTCCAGCCAGTTGGGGGGGATCAAACTCGCCCTCCTAGGGTTTAGGGTTTAGGGCTCAGGGTTTAGGGTTTAGTATTTAGGGAAGCCAGACTCAAAACTCAGGAAAGACCTGTCGATCCAGTCGCCCCACTCGGCTGCTGCATTTCCCGTGGCCGGGGATGTGTTGCGCGTGCTGCGTCCGGTGAGGACTTGGAGGGGACTTGGAGGGGTTTGCTTTGGTCTCCGGGCAAGGTGTCTTGGGGTAGTCGGTGGCCTTATACTGCTGGGTGCATGTGTTTCATACAATCTATGCCTATTTATGTCGATTCGTTCAGTTGGAGAGATTTGCTAAGGATTTTGCACACGCAGCTTCTGGGCTCAAGACGGTCGATTTTGAAGCTATTTTTTACTGGTGCAATTGTGGGGTTCGTGTACATCGCTGACCTTGCAACATGACTGCTGGACATATCGGCGGACCGTGACCTGTCACTGCATGCGCCCACCATACATCCTGAAACTCGAGATTCCCCAAGCCATGCCCAAAACCAACCCAAAACTTGAACCTGAGAAACAGGATTTCAAGAGCGGAAAATCGCAGAATGAAGCGCAGACAGCCGCAGGCACTATGCCTTCCCTGCACCGGCATACCACTGCCCCCCTTCCCACCCATGCGCGACGTGCATGCATTTCAGCTGCCCCTCGGCAGCTCCCCCGAAAGGATGCGGGAAACATTTACTGCTTAAGAATCATAGCATAGATAGTCGCACGACTAAGAACCATGCCAGTAGCAAAACCTATTCTTTATTGATTTCCCCATGAATCCCCTCTCACGAGAGGATGCTTCCGGCCTGGGTCATCCCGAACTACCGGTGGCTTGGGGTCTCGCGGAGCCTTGGCATTCCTCCGACCGCGGGTTTACCTTGTATGAGTATAGCGTAGTATAGTATGGTATAGTATAGTATGGTATAGTATAGTATGTACGTATGTAGGTATGGATGGATGGATGGATGGATGGATGGATGGATGGATGGATGGATGGATGGATGCATGTATGCATGTACGCATGTACATGTCTGTATATGCATATGTATATGCATATGTATATGCATATGTATATGC